TTCTACTTCGGTACCACGTTCTTCAGCTCCGTATGTGTCCCCGAACCACAGTGAAAGAGGCTTCGGTTTGCTGACTGGAGAATAGCTCGGAACGATTTCCAACCCCTTCCTGATTAGCATGATCACCACCATTGTCAATGTCTGCTCGACTCCCGTCTCGTTCTACACCATGGAGAAGATCGGACGTCGTCCCCTGCTGCTGTGGGGTGCGCTTGGCATGGTTATCTGCCAGTTCATCGTCGCCATCACCGGTACCGTCGTCGGCGACAAGGGCGGCAACAACGCTGCCGTCAGCGCTGAGATCTCCTTCATCTGTATCTACATCTTCTTCTTCGCCAGCACCTGGGGTCCTGGCGCATGGGTGGTCATCGGCGAGATCTTCCCTCTGCCCATTCGTTCCCGCGGTGTCGCTCTGTCCACCGCATCTAACTGGCTGTGGAACTGCGTAAGTAGCAATCCCCGTAACCATTAATAATGGATTTCACTAACGAGCACGATAGATCATCGCCGTCATCACCCCGTACATGGTTGACCAGGACAAGGGCGATCTCAAGTCCAAGGTGTTCTTCATCTGGGGAGCCCTGTGCACCTGTGCCTTCATCTACACCTACTTCCTCATCCCCGAGACCAAGGGACTCACCCTCGAGCAGGTCGACAAGATGATGGAGGAGACCACGCCCCGGACCTCCGCCAAGTGGAAGCCCCATACCACCTTCGCGGCCGACATGGGACTCACCGAGAAGGACATCAGCGACAAGGTCCACGTCGCCCACCGGGAAGTCTAATCCCGCTCAGCCGAAGGAGGTCTATCTGGTGGGGAAGGGGATGCGGGAGGTGTTCTGCAAATTACTTTTTTTCCTTTCTCATTTTTAATTGACTGGTTATCAGCTATGAACTCATACCCATGATGTTTTTACGTGTCATGTCGTTTTAATGCCCTGGCAGAACAGAGAAGATGGCAGAGAGATGTACCATTAATCCATACTCAACTTCTTCAACCTATCACTCCGTGTGTGTGTGTGTGTGTACTTCATTGTATGTTGTAGTTACTTGGTCTTGTAGGCCACAAGCACTTCCGCTTGAGTTGGGAAATTCGGGTTTCTTCCGTGGGCCACGCTAACACTCGGTAAGTGGTCTTAAACACCAGCAAAATCTCGATGGATCAGAGTGGGTATCCCATGCAGGGGTAGCCCAATACATTCCGATACCGTATTTGTGACCGGAATGGTTGATGGGTCGCAGAGGATATCAATCTTCTTGCGAAACAAGGACTTACGTATGTCGACTTGTAGCGTGGTAGACATCATGAACAGGCTAGAACTAATGACCACCCTCTTTGGTAACCATACCCTCTGTCCATATCAGATAGGTATCTGACTGAATTGTGAGTGTCATAAGTATCTGATTAGAAGTGTATTGTTACGTATGTGGTAAGGGGATATGGAGCAATACAGTTCTAATCAGATGCCTCGCCGGGAGTTGTAGATGAAAAGCTTTAGGGTTGGACCTGGCAGAAGTCGTATGTACCTAGAATACTACAATTGCTTAGAATGAAATCTACTCAACGACGCTGTGTGTACCTCTGTACGTGCCTCGGCGTCATGACTATTATTGTATGCATTCTTGTAATCTTGCTTGGTTTTTCTTGTTTTCCTTCCGGTCACAAACCAAAATGTATCTGCCTACCATCAATGCAGAAGATGATCCATCTAGATTAAAGAAGAAACAGTCCACGAATCAATATCCTGCCAAGATATCCAGGCCTGCCAAGCGATGGATCGACAAGAATCTGGAGTACAGAGTTTTCCGTCTTTGAGCTCCGCTTAGTCATTCAGCAGTAGGGTTGACTCGAGTGTCGTGATTTGCCCTTTCAGTCCATACCCCCCATCAAGTCGCTTTCCTCATAGAGTAATAGAGCCAATGCTTAACTGACAATTCCAGAGACAAATGGCACTATTAAGGCAATATGGGCAGCTTAATTTCCTGATAGAGATCGACATACGCGTCGGCAGTCAATAGGTACCAATTACCGCTTCCGCTGATTCGGAAGAGCTCCGCTGTGCCAAGACATCTTGTGCCTGATGCTAAAGATGCACGCACACAGACCAGACTCCTGTGGCACAGCGAGTGCGAATACGCAATTACATCGAGAATAAGGGATCGACAAGGCTTCGCGACCATGCCCGAGGAATAGCCACCAATCATCCTAAGCCTATTAATCACTCCGGCTGTGCCAAGCCACCGGGTGTTTGTGTCGAGTGAGCTTGATCCACGGACAATTTAGCATTCACGATGCATACTGTTGAGATTATGCCACGGCGGAGTCCTTCTTATGCCTTGCAACTATTCTATTCCCCCCACTCGCCACGTCCGTGCTTGTTCTAGTCGGATTATCTATCGTTTCTGAACAATGGATGAGAGTGCCTAGAGGACGTTGCCTCGTCAGCCGACGTCGATCATGCCCCATTTCTGACTGGGCTGGAGATGCCCTAAAACAAGCTATGTAGGTTCGACGGTAGTCTATTGCATTCAGCCGGCGCTAGCACGGTATTTTGGATGCTCTCCTGCCCGGGCCGGGGGGTGCTGAACAATGCTCCTCGCCCCATTCGACGGGTTAGACAGGGTGCACTATGGGCATTGCGTCAGCTAGAAGCCGCGGCACTCCTTGTTCGATATGGATGCCACCAAGGTCAACGGGGTATAAAGCCGGCTTTGCGCTCGAGAGTTTCTGGCAGATCATCAAGACATTATCTCCTCCCATTCCCTCCACATCAATCGTGTATTAGTACCAATTCTCAATCATGGTTCAACTCGCTTCTACCCTCGTCGCTGGTCTGGCTGGCCTTTCCAGCGTCGTCTCTGCCCATCCGGGCCACGACGTCAAGGCCGAGGCCGCTGAGCGCGCTACTTTCCTGAAGAACGCTCCTCTCCGCTCTCGCAGCCTGGACCAGTGTGCTACCAAGCTGCGTGCTCGCGGACAGGAGCAGCGCAACGTCGCCCGTCGTGAGCAGGCCGTCAAGAACCTGCGCCGCAGCATGGGCCTGCAGTCCCGTATGGCCTCCAACTCCATGCATCGCCACCGCATACTGACTGTTCCGGACCAGGCTCCCACTTCCTCAAGGCCAGAGACCTCGACACCGTCCTCAACACCACCCACCACTCCACCCAGGATGTCAACCTCTCCACGGACCCCGAGGTCCTCTTCGCCTCCGAGGCCACCTGCATCCTCGCCCCGGATGTCACCCAGGGACCCTACTGTACGTCATTCCCTCCGTACGCAATCAACATCATCTAACACAAGCAGACGTCTCCGGCGAGCTGATCCGTAATAACATTATTGAGGACCAGGCCGGTGTTCCTCTCTACCTGGACATCCAGCTGATCGACACCAACACTTGCGAGCCCGTTCCCCAGGTCTACCTGGACTTCTGGCACTGCAACGCCACCGTAAGCACCCTCTAGCTACCACTGCTCAAAACAGACCCAAGCACTGACAAAGAAAAACAAAGGGTGTCTACTCGGGCGTGACCGCTAGTGGAAACGGCGACAGCAGCGACGAAACTAACCTCGACGCAACTTTCCTCCGCGGCCTCCAAAAGACTAACAACGAGGGTATCGTCCAGTTCCAGACCATCTTCCCCGGTCACTATACCGGCCGTGCTACCCACATCCACGGTACGTACTTGCTCACTTACTTTTCTCCCCTCATTTCCCAATTCTGCTAGTATATAGGATTACTGATCAAAAGGGGGAAATAGTGCTCACCCACCCGGCCAACGAGACCTCCGTCCTGCCCAACGGAACCATCACCGGCCTGTACAACACCAAGACCTCGCATGTGGGCCAGATCTTCTTCGACCAGGACCTCATCTCCGTCGTCGAAGAGACCGCCCCTTACTCCACCAACACCCAGGAACTGACCACCAACGCTGAGGACTCCATTCTCGCCGAGGAGGCCGACACCATTGACCCCTTCGTCGAGTACGTTTTCCTCGGTGACGATGTCTCGGAGGGTATCTTTGGCTGGATCTCCGTTGGTATTGATGCCTCTGAGAGCAGCTCTGTTACCGCTGCTGCGTACCTGACTGAGGATGGTGGTGTTGCGAATGAGAACGCTGGTATGGGTATGGGTGGCGGCGGCGGTGCTCCTCCCAGTGGTTCTGGTGCTCCTTCTGGTGCTATGCCTTCGGCTAGTGCCTCTGCTTAGAGGAGGTTTGTAGGATACAGATGATTGGATCTGTTGGTTCAGTCGGTGTGCTTCTTTTTCTTCTATATTCTGGATACTTAGGTCTATTTTGGATCGGAATATTTAGTATTCGCTTCTCGATAGTACATTTTTGAAACAATCATTGTGGTATTCCTCGTCAACGAGTTGCCACCTTTCTAGTATCGAAGTGAACTGAGCATAATCGATAGAGTTGATTGATAAAGACATATGAAATAGACGCTGTCGAAAAGTGCTGTACTCGAACCGGGATCTATGGTGTTATCAGTAGAATTCGTTGGACTTGGAATAGCAGGGCTAGAGCCCTCGCCTAAAATACAGGCAACGCTGTCATAGAACGAGGCAATGATTTATCGTACATCGATTTCTTAGGGGGTTTGGGCACCTTTGCTATAATCGCCGGTGGCACGAAATGGAAAAAAGATCGAATGTATGAAAGTAGTCACTTGGTGATCGTGCTGGATAGTGTGAGCAACTTCATTGATTCACGCCCAGGGGTAAGTCTTGAGACGATTGAGGGGCTTGTATAGAAGCAGACTTGGAAAGATCAAGTCACATGGGGACCAAGTGGTCAAACCGAGCAAACTGATTATACTAAGATAGGAAGGCGAGGCCCTTCTAGATAGATATGAGCTAATACAAAGCTCTCTAGAGATAAGTAAGAATCTTACATAATAATAGCTTCTTGTATATTACTTGGAATATAGCAAATAGCTAAGCAAGCGCTTCAAGCACGTAAATATATTATGCATTACTTATCTAAATACTAAAGATATTAACCCGCAGCATAGGTACTCATCTTCCTCATCGTCTCCCCATACTTCCACAAGAAGATCGGGGCTGGGATACCAATGGCAATCGATATGAAAGCCAACAAACTATTCCCCCACCCATAATGCAACGCCTGGTACATATATGGCGCAAAAAGTGGAAACGCAAACCCAGCAATGGAGCGCAAGAATGAACCAGCGGCCATCGCACTAGCTGCGAATCGCGTGTAGGCATCGACAATGTAGGTCTGGATACACTGCATGGCAACTATGTTGCCCATAGCCAGGAGCATGGCACCGATGTTCGGGACAATCCAGTGACAGTGGGTTTGCGCGGTCCATCCGTAGATGAAAAGGCCAACTGGGTTGAGGATGGCGGCAATAGATAGTAGCGGGGTGCGGAATTCCGGCTTTCCTGTACCGCTGTTGCGGCTTTTGAGACGGCGATAGATGAGGTCATTGAGCCGTGCACAGATCTGAGAGCCCAGGCAATACCCTATCCCAAGAGATATGTAGTTTAGACCGCCAATGCCAGTGGACTCATTATAGTACTCCGGGCTAGTCCATAGGGCCGGAAATGTCGATGACATCAAATATAAGATACCGTACACGAAGGCCATATATATCGCAAGGGCTTGGACGATGGGTTGTGTTGCGAGAAGGCGGAACGGGCGAACAAGCGCTGTTCTTAGAACCTCAGGTAAAGTCTTGTTCTGTCGCTCAGCTTCGGTCTCGTAGGAGGCGTCTCCTGTGTCTTTGCGGAGCTTTTTCGCTCGTGTCCTGAGGATCTTGGGGGCATATGTCTCGCGCAAGAAGAAAAGACCCATGACTTGGATGACACCATCAGCGATGGACGTGGCGTAGAATACCCATCTCCATGTTGTCCTTTCTGCGATGAAGCCGCCAGCAATCGGGCCCACAGCTGGGCCGAGGAGAGGTGCTAAGCTATAGATAGCAATACTTTTACCGCGTTCTTCCGGTAGGAAGCAGTCAGAGAGGACACCGCCACCTATCTAAGTGCTGTTAGATCGTAAATCGATATATACGCAATGATCTGCAGTACTTACGGCTAAAGGGGCACTGCCGCCTAGACCAGCCAGAAACCGAAAGACGATCATCTGCGCCGCAGTTTTAGATACGCCACAGGCGATGTTGAAAATAAGGAAAAATAGATTCGCAAGCTGTAAAACAATGACTCTTCCGTAGATCTCGGATAAGGGCCCAAGGAATAGCGGGCCAAATGCATACGCCAGGACGAAAATGGACAGCATGAGTTGGGAGGTCACTTCATCTTCAATATTGAATTCGGACTTCATGGTTTGTAATGCAGGTGCAACCATAGACGACATCACCGGGGAGATAAACGTAAAACAGGATACGATCAAAACAGCTCCCCATTTCTTCTTCGTTGGCCAATTCTTAGGGTTGTCAGGGTCGTCAGGACCAGACCATGTAACCTACGTCATCAGTAACTGATCATGGTAACCAGAGGAGCTCGCAGAGACTCACTAGTTTGGAGTCCTGTGGACTGTTTGACTTCCCTAGGCTAGATGTAGGCTGAGCACCCTTTTCCAAGTCAGTCCCCCGCTCTTTTGGGTCTCTCACAGCCTCAAGACCATGTTCGTTTCCATTCTTTTCACTTTGTGGTGCCCCGTCCTCGAGGACCACTGCACCATGTTCAGTTGCAACACTACTGTGGAGTACAGATTGATCGTCGGGATTTTGTCCGGTGCCAGCTCCACCATTATGCGAGACATTCTGTATAGTTCTTGAGCTGGATCTCTCCGTTGAGCGTGCAGTACCTGGACGGAACGCTTCAGTGGTTGGTAGATGCGGCTCAGAGTTGAGAGTAGAGGACGTCGAAGACCGTGGTCTGGCAGGTCCAGTACCTAACGTCCGATGACTACCAGCCATAGCCAGCAATGTATCCAGGAAAACCAAGGAGAAATTTTTGATTCACGAAAAAGCAGAACGGGAGAAATGAAACACGAGACGGGAACCACACGATATACCCCGAATCATTTTGACCCTGCCAGCGAACCACCAATAAAAGCATCCAACGAAGCGTAGTACAGCATAACCCTAGGATAATCCATCATAGTGACGGATTTTGCAAACGTTAACACCGACAGTGGAGCATCTTTGCTAGATTTTGCAATTCTGAGAGCCATGATTGGGCTAGGAGGAAAGCTTGACACTGAATATGTATGGAATATTTTTGGACGGCACCCCGACTCCCGACGATAATTGTGGAGCAGCGCGGCTTGGCCCGTCTATTGCTGAGGACTCAGTGAGGAGAGATTCCAAGTTGTCCAACTGGATTTATCTAGAATCGGATCTTCGGCATCTTGATGGCACGTGATGCGTGACAGTCTCAAGGTGGCCCTGCAGTGAGCCAATCATATTGACTCCGAATCCCGACTCACAATAATCAGGAAGCCCTGATTTCAACAATTTTTGAACAGTATGGGTTCCAATTTGAAATCCTGCCATGCCGGCGAGGTAAGCGAATCAGTTCATTATCATCATCTGCAAGAATCATGGGTCTGGTGACGATCTCCGTGACTCATCTGGCATTGGTTTGACACGCCAGTCTAGAAGGCCTAGAGCATGGTCTCCGTGAACTGACCCTGTTAGCCGAGGATCCCCTGTCCCATAAAACTTCAGTTAAGATGAGGGTGCAGGCCTGTCTGAGTTGTCATGTCTTGCCGTGCTTAGCGATTTTCTGCAGGTTCCAAGTTTCCTTATCTTGTCAGTCAGTCACCGCCATGTAGACATACTAATCGAGCACAAGATAGGCAGTTATTCGTGGTGGACTGTTGTGCCCTCATCTAAATTGTCTCGATTCCGGTCGTCATGGTAAGTTTTGTAGTATATAACACTCTATATCTAAATCTTTCTCAAGCATCCTGCTAAATACCTCTCAATCCGGTTTACGTCGTCTAACGCTGCAATTGTCCCAACATATCCATCAGGCCGAATTACGGCCAAGGCTCCCTGGGCTGGGTCCACACCGTAGATTTTATAAACATCGTCGATGTCATAGCCGCTGTGGAACCGCATCTCGGAGTGTTTCTTAAGCTCCTGAGGCACATTGCGCCATGTGAAGGTCTTGTTAAGACGAGGGTGGATAACCACCTGCTCAAGCGTGGAGGCTGGGAAGTGTGGGATAACAGAGGCTCCAAGGGATCTCAACGTCTTAGCAGATATTCCCTCAGGATCTAGCAAGTCTGATGAGGTAAGGCAAAGAATTCGAAATCGTCCGGTTGAAAGGAAATCTGCGGCGCATGGTTAGACTTCTGAGCCAGGTATATGGCTAGGCAAGCCAGATATGAACTTTTATAAGCTATTAACGTACCATCTTGCAGATGACGCCGGTTCCCATCGGCATGTCTTTTGAGCCGTACGTCCAATAGTCTCCTTCCCGGACGCAGAATTCCGGAGAGGTAGTCTGTGCCAATGACTGGGTTCTTGATATCTTGTCCTAGCTCCTTCTCCACGGTCAAGTTTTCCGGGTATTCAATACCACAGCCACTGGTAAACCCGTTTCCAGTGCTGAAGACCTCAAGGAATTGGTCATGGGTTAGACCTTCCACGCCATCCTCTCCAGACCCTATCTTGCCTGAGAACATGGATGAAAACGCACGGTCGAATTCGATGAGTTCCTGCGCGATGGTGTGGCGTTCTACATGATACGTGTCTAAGAGGGAATCAGGTTTCCCGGATAATGCAGAATCTGGGGTAAGACCATTGATGGAATAGGCTAGTTTCCACGCTAGGTTGTATGAGTCCATCATGGAAACATTCATTCCTTGTCCAGCCTGTGTGAAAGCAAATGAGTAACGTTATATAGATAAAGAGTATTGCCACGTACCTTGGGACTGTGAGTATGGCACGCTATCGTTTGAAAAAGAATCTGTCAGCCAGGTGTACTTCAAAGCTTATCGGGATTCTTGTGCCCTACCGTCTCCTACAATGAACACCCGGTTAACTCCCTTGGAGTCCTTGACCGTAAAGTTATCTGATACTCGCTGGCCGATCTGGTACGCGGCCCACCAGTCCACGGCCCCGTCCTCTTTCGGTCGAATATAATATGGCTTGAACGCATCCTCTGCATATTGGAAGATGCTTTCTAAGGTAACCTTACTTCTCCGAGCCCGAGCATCAGCCTTTGGAGTGGTAGTCTCATTGACGGGAACCTGGTCCAGGTCTGGCGTAGCTTCCTCGGGCACCTGGACATAAAGACGAGTCAAATATTCACCAGTAGCAATACGCTCACGCGGAATGACCATCACTGAGCCCGCTGGTGAATGAATGGCGCACCGTCTCCTGATGTCCGGAAAATCTGTATCCACGACCAGATCGACCACACCCCAGATATGATCTAACGACTCGCCCACAAGCTGCAGTCCCATGCACCGACGGACCATCGAATGCGCCCCATCGGCACCAACCAGGTGCTTCGCGCGCACGGTTCTGCGCTGCCCATCCGTTTCTAGGTCAGCAACAACAGGGAACTCAGGATTTCCAGCTTCATCAATCCGGGCATCAAGAAGTTTAGTATTACGCTGGACACCACGCTTTGAATACCGCAGTAAATCCGTCTCTAGAATCCGTTCGATTCGACCTTGGTGAATAGTCACTTCATGCCGGTACCGCGCTGGAACGGCAACATCGGGGACTATCGATGTTCTTTCGATTATCTCGTCCTTGTTAGCGGAAGGGTTCCAAAATGCCACCTCTTCCATGTGACATCCGTCGTTAATGATCTCGTCTACGACTCCGAGGGACTTCAGCACTTCCAAAGTGCGAGGTTGCAGACCGTCGGCTTGACCTGATTTGAGGGTTCCGGGCTTCGCATCAACACAGAGCAGCGAGTCGTCGCTTAGTCCGTATCGTGCCAGGAGCAAGTTCAGCATGAGTCCCGCTGGACCAGCGCCAACAATGACCACTTCATATTTGTCTGCTTGGTCGACACGAGCAAAGGGTGACGAGAGGCGGGGCAATGGTGGGGCAAACGAGGGAAGCACACGCAGTTCCCGCGACGCCGCAGAGTACTCGGTGAATACAGGCATGAGAGAGGGATGTTGAAAATGATTCGAATCGTGACTGGTTAAGGGGTTAATAGATGTACGGGGGCGAGCGCGGAGACTTGGGATTTATATCTTGTCTCAGGCTGGAATGGTAGTAGAAATATAATGCTTCAAAGTCTCGACATGGCCCAAACGGGAAAACATCCCCAATAAATCGTGAGTGGGGGCTCAAGAACGTGTGGGAGGCGTTGCTCTCGAGTCTCGATTATTAAGAAGTGTACCGGACTGCCCAGTAGGTAACCCCAGCCTCGTGATTGGCTTTGGTCTTATACTTTCCCCAGTTTTTGGCGGGGACGTTGCGCTGACTGTTGATTACTTGAACATCACCAATGCCCTGATCGTCATTTCGTACGTGGTCAAGAATTTATGTAGCATAGTGGAATCAGGGGGTTCGGCCACGACGCCATTGCCTTGCGGCAAGAAGCATTAGACCAAACGAAGCATGCGTGTATGCATACCTAGTATGAATACACCATACACACAAGGCGATTTCGTGGGCGGAGCTGGACTTGCGTCAACGATTTAGCCGAGCTTGTAGTCCGTTTGGTACATAAATACATGACTCGGGAGAATACGAAAGTGGGCATGACAGTACTAGTACAATACGCAGAAATGCCGTGTTGAAACGCGACATGGTTACCTGCCGGGGGTTCTCCGGTGCCAATAAAGTTTAACCTTTTCACGAGAGCGGACAGGGATCTGTTCTCCAATGAGACACGCTCTCCATAGACTCCATACGACTCCATACGCGCCGTAATTCCGCACTTCCCCAATGTCTGGATCTACGATTAGTACTCTCTACCGACTTCCATATTTCAACATCCGTTCAGTGCCATACGGATTTACGGATTAATGCAAGCACATACAATTCGCCAACCCCAACAATAGCATCATAGCACTGTCCAAAGGGACCCTATTCGATCGACCAACCTCGGCTCCTTTGGTTTGACAGTATCCGATCACAACACCATCTCGGGGAGGAGAGCACACCAAGCTTCCACCCCCGCAATTTGTTTTAACCACGGGGGATTCCCGAGACCGGGGGTGGAGTATCCACTGGCTTTCTTTTACTGTACCTGGGGTTGCGGGATAGAACAGGAATTGGTTTGCTTGTGAGAACTTATTGCGCGAAGACATGTGCATTGATTTTGTGTATACTAATATTTGTTGTTCGCACAGTAACCCGGGGATGGTCGCGTACAAGATGTACTGCAAGCTGTGATGAGTTGGCAGTATCTATAACAAACCATGTTAAGGGCCACCAGACATGGTATCTCTACTCCGAGCCCTAAGAACTACTAGCTAAGGAAAGTTCGCTACGACAATGCAGCATTCCTTTTTTCTAGGTGCCCACGCCATAGTCTTAGTTTAGTATAGCATATTCCTTCTCTACCCATTTGACTCGTCAGCTGCTGACAACGCGAGTATGGCACAAAAATATACACACTCGTAACCGAGGTTACAGCACGAAGCTTTGCTCGCAAGGTTTACTATAAGAACTTTGTCAATTATACTCGGAAAATGAACCCTTATGATGAATAACCATTTGTTATTCTCCCCGGACCCGGGCCTGCTCGGGGGGAAATTGGGGACACGGGGAGGAGATCGGCAATCAATCTCCATTTGTGGGGATACCACTGGCATCTAGTGGGTATATGAGAGGCTTTTGTGATCTCTGAATGGTTATAAGTATTGCATTGGCTGCTGGCCCGAAGCGTCTATTAAAGCAGGCCACAACGCACATACAGCATTCCTGACTTGCGTTTTAAAAGAGTGTTCGCAACGCTAGAAGCCAGTCTCAAGCCTGCTTGCCCTCTTCTTCTGCATGCCAGATTCGACATATATCTCTTCGTTGTTCTCACTGTCTGAATATACCCCTTGAGCGGAAACCTCAATTATGTTACGCCTGCTGGCTCAAGCTGCTGGTGTCGAGACTGTTCACAAAAAGTCTCAATCACCTAGCAGAGACTTTGTTGAGCCGCGTTCGGTTGATGAGAGTCGTCCTATACGGGTAGTCGTCATTGGATCAGGCATTTCTGGGATCATCTCTTCCATCCGATTCAGACAACGAATCCCCAATGTGGACATTTGCGTCTATGAGAAGAACGCGGACATTGGAGGAACATGGTATGAAAACAGATACCCGGGCTGCGCATGTGGTACGTCTAAACTCCCTATCTCTAGCCCTACATTGTGCTATGAGTTGTTCCTATCTAATACATATTGTTTAATAGATATCCCCGCCCACACCTACCAAGCTACCTTTGAACCTAATAAGGAGTGGTCAGCATTCTATGCTTCATCCCCAGAGATCCATCAATATTGGAAACGGGTGGCACACAAATTTGGCTGCATGGAGTATGTCAAACTCAAACATCAAGTCAGCGAAGCGGTGTGGGATGAGCAAAAGAGCAAGTGGCAGTTGCAGGTAAATATGAATCATCATCTTCTCCTTACTCCCAAATGATGGTAACTGACTTTCTCTTATAAAGATTCAAGACATCGACGGCGGCTCAACATATTCAGACCAGTGCGATGTACTTATCTCAGCCACGGGGGCTCTAAATAATTGGAAATGGCCCAATATCCCTGGCCTCCATGACTTCAAAGGGAAGCTTTTGCACAGTGCTGCTTGGGACGAGAGCTATGATTATAGCGTGAGATAAACTTCAGTTAAAGCTTGCTCCGAACCATGACTAACAAGCTCATATACAGGGTAAGAAGGTCGCGGTGATCGGGAACGGTTCTAGTGGGATCCAGATTGTCCCTGCAATGTTACCGAAAGTGGCACATCTTGACCATTATGTAAGAGGCCGGACATGGATCGCGCCCACATTTGCTCGTGAGGAGATAGATAAGCGGGGTGTCGAAATAGAGAACTGTATGTATTTCCTTCCCGCTAGTTTTGTAGCTTTCTAACGGTTTGCGAAAGTCTCGTTCACTCCGGAAGAGATCGAGACATTCAAGAAGGATCACCAAGCATACCAACAATTTCGCAAAGGTAAGATAATCGCAAGTCATATCCGCCGAGAATCTTTTGTAACCTGATACACAGAGATTGAACTCGAATTGCAATCTGTCCATGGCACCACTATGCTAGGTACGCCGGAACAGGTTGGAGCCAGGGAGGTGTTCCTGGAGAACATGAAGCGGCGACTATCGAGAAAACCGGAGCTTTTAAGTGGTTTGGTGCCGTCTTTCCCACCTGCTTGCCGCCGCTTGACACCCGGACCTGGCTACCTCGAAGCCTTGACGGAAGACAATGTGAGCATCATCAGCAGCAATATTGTCCAAGTGGATGCCGATGGGATCATCACAGCCGATGGAACACATCATCCCACTGACGTTATTGTTTGTGCCACCGGGTTCGACACTACATTCGCACCGCGATTTCCAATTATCGGACGGGGAGGCATATCCCTGGCAGACCGCTGGAAAAACACCCCGGAGACATATCTCTCAATGATGGTTGATGGGTTCCCCAACTACTTCATCAGTCTGGGTCCCAATTCAGCACTCGGCGATGGCAACCTCTTGCTCCTAATTGAGAAGGCAATAGATTATTTCACCTTTTGTGTCCAGAAAATGCAACGAGACAATATACGGTCAATAATGGTAAAGAAAGAGGCGGTCGATCGGTTCACGCGATATTGCGATCAATACTTCACCCGAACAGTCTTCGGGCAGAAGTGTAGCAGCTGGTACAAAGGGGGAGCCGAGGATGGTAGGGTGACGGCTCTGTGGCCTGGTCAGTGTGCCTTGCTATGCATAAGATGCTTATAGAACAATCACCCAGTCGTTCAAATGCTAACTAGGTATAGGATCTTCCCTTCATTCGCTGAAAGTGTTCGCACACCCTCGGTGGGAAGAATTCACGTATGAGTACGTGAACGATAACCCCAACGGATGGATTGGGGACGGGTGGACGGAGAATGAGAAGAACAAAACAATCCACGTCGACTACTTAGATGACGATCATATTGATTATCCGAAACAGTTATTGAATACTGCCTCAGTGCAAGTGGGGGCGTGATGAACGCATGCCAGCGACGCCGATCGGTGGCGAGGGATCCAGCCCCTCTTCAGATGTTGATCCTGGTATTATCATCTGCGGCTATTAGTATGATTTTTTGTTTTCGCAATGAAATAGATTTTGCGCATCAAAGCCTGTTGTTCCTGTTGTTGCTGCTCTTCAGGGGTATCGAAGTGGTCGTGGTCTTTGTTTCATACCTTGTGTTTAGAACTCAATAGTCTGCGCTGTGACCACCTGCCATCAGCCCATCACATTATAGGATGGATATAATATAGACTCGGTATAGATAGCTAAGTATAGCAGGTGCCATAATGGACTCGGTATAGGTATCCAGAGAAGGTATAAATCGCATACCGAAGATCATTGTGGATCCCTTCCTGAGAAAGCCGGCAGTGGGATTGACGAAACACATCCCGTTCACGGCTTTTCAGGAGCCGTTGGTACGGTCACGGTATTGAAAGTTCAAACGCTAGTGGGTAACAACAATACCGAAGTGAACCAATGAAACGGCAATATTGACTACGATTGGAAACGGTGTATTACGTAGTGGGACAGGCGCAGCGTCTGTTTCAGGTAACTCATGGTAAGAATTCATGCAATAAGAATCTCACCTTTTTCCCATGATTTAGAAATCCCAGTTTCTGATAATGGATTTTATGAGACCATGGTTCCCTCAACAACTTATCTCTTGGTTCATCTTCTTGTTCCCAGTCTTTCAGAGAAATCATCTCATTGCCCCCATTTGAGTTAATTCCCCACTGGATTTCCACTTCGCCCCCCTCCAAAAGGTCCCCATCGCTTTCTCTTTCCTCTATCAACCCACCCCCTCTCCATTCTACCCCAGAATTTCTTCTCCCCGATGCACGCCAAACTCTCGCCATGAAATCCTCTGCAAGCAAGCATTTCTGCTGTACCATCTGTCAGCGAGGTTTCACCCGCATTGACCATCTTAAGCGCCACCATCTGCGCCGTATGTTCGTCTTTGCGCCTTTGTCTGGACCCGGTCTCGGCGACGCCGCTGTGGCCGATGGACCTCCCCGGTCATAACTAACTGGTGAATTATTTGACTTGCAGATTCCGGAGTAAAGCCATACTCATGCGTTTTTTGCAATGAATCATTCGCTCGATGGTTTGTAATTCCTCTCTTATCTGTCTCTGTTCTTTTTTCTTTCTTTTTGTTTTCACTTTTGTTATCCTCTCCAGAGCGAATTTCCTTTTAGCTACCAGTCGGTCGCAGCAATCAATTGATGATACTCTCATATAGTGACAATCTACGGGACCACTACGCGGACTGCGCTCAACGAGGAGACCGAAAGATTCCCGAAACTGGACAAAGAGGCAGAAGGCGTCATGCGTGCCAATCGGCAAGTCCATCCCAATTATTGCTTTATCCACCCGCTCTAGTTCTAACGGCCTATCGCATATAGTGTACCTCGATGAAGCTGCGATGCGATGGCCTACGGCCTTGCAGTTCTTGTCAGAAAAGAAATCTCCATTGCAATAATGAGCGTAACCAAGTGAAAGACCATGAAGCGGAAGGTATAAGCACCACTTACAGACCTCCTTGTTTTCCGGACGGCCTGCTCATGGTTGTATAGGCTCAGTATCTTCCAAGAACAACGACCAAGAACCGTCGTCAGATCGGGGATCGATCAAATTCCTCCTCAATGGAGGCACAGACACTTTCACAGAACACTGGAACCTCCCTCCCAGCAATGACCGACCCCGTACGCTCAACGATTATCAGAGCCCAAGGAGCTTTGAGGAAGCCGACAGCTCCATCTTAGACTACTCGACAAAGGGAAATTATCTGGAATACGCACCAACATACATTGAGTCAGACCCGATGGCTCTATCTTTCTTCCACGACACCTTTCTCGATTTCTTTAATGGCCCGTTCGGAGATCCCCATAGGTCAACGAATGATCCATATACAACCGGGATGGCGTATCAGTCCATGGCACCCTCTACGCAAGGTTCCGATCTCAGATTGACCGGGCAGCAGCCCGCTTACGAACATGAAGCTCCGTTTGCAACTGCCATGATACAGGCGATTTTGACGAAAGTTTGGTCCCTTCGTCTCGATGCTAAGACGCAGGAGGAGATTTCAGAATTGCTGAACTTCCTCCTAACACCTACACGCATGCGGAAGTATATGGCATTGTACTTCAAGTACTGGCAGCCCAATTGTCCAATGATCCATGTTCCAACGTTTGACCCGAAGACCGTGTCGCTATCGCTTCTCACGTCGGTTTGCTTCATGGGTGCCAAGTATACTGAGGATAAGAGAGAGCTGGACGCTGCACAGCGACTAGTCGACTTTGCGGAACTGTTTGTCTTCTCCAGCGGAATTTTCTCGAGCGAAAATGAGATCAGTTCGACATATTATGGGGTCCAAAATGCTGATGTCGATCCTAATTGCTGGGTTCAATTCCAGAATCTACAGGCTGCATTCCTCATGGTGATATGTCAGTACTGGTCAGGAAGCCGTACGTCACGGAACCGAGCAATGGAAAATCGGTTTAGCGAAGTCATCAAGGTAGGGTTGGTGCAAATCAGCGGTGTGGTTCGTCGGGGCTGACTAGGGACAGGTTGCGCGCAGAATGGGTCTACCCGCGTTTCAGCATGGACCTGAGGAGCGTCTTCATGAGTATTTATGGATTCAGAGGGAGTGTCGTATACGGTACGTCGAGCTACCATCCTTTGAACTCATGATGTCACTAACCACTTCACAGCGCTATCAACTTAATCTCGCTGCTAGACTGCGCATTCTCGTTCTATTCGAACTATCCATGCCGGTTGTCTCATAACGAAATGGAGTGCGCGTTGCCTTGCGTGGAGTCTGTATTTGAATCGGCGCATCCATTCCAGGAACCCAACTTCGAACTATCCCGGGATATAACCCTGTCCGAAGCTTTCCAAATGTTATTTGAAGAAGAAGAAAGCAGCCGGGCTTCATCACCTTCCACGTCTGGCTCTACCGTTGCAGAAACCCTCGCCAAACTCACTATCCTGGACACGTTCATGTTGATTCACCGTAAGTAGATGCTCTCCTGCATGCCACCACTATCTGACGGGAAACAGTGCTTTACGCTTTCATAAACACGCACATGACACTTCTCGCTACTACAGTGCCAAAAACACGCGTCCCGCACTCCCAGCAGATACACGGCTCTCGGGCCCATAATTATCGTTCGGCGATACCAGAGGACTCTACACTCGCTTCCATACGCATAGCACTCTCTCGGTGGCATGATCACTGGACCAGGCTGCGCAGTGCAACCTCCAGCCATGACTGGGCCTCCATGGGCTTTTACAAGAACGGCTACCATTTCTGGCTTGTGTCGCAGCTCCTGATAACCAAGAAAGAGAGTGTGGACGTGGTGATGCGCATGGAAGTGAAGTGTGAGGACAAGCTGGAGCAACTCAAAGTTCTGCTGAAGGACGACAACGAATGACGCTTTATGAATGAGTCGCACTACAACGACTCATTCGATGATTCTTCTTTTCTTTTTCTCGTTTGTTCTTTCTTGGACAGGCGCTCGCTGTATACACGATGGAATGGATGCATGATTGTACGATACACTAGAGCATTCGGGCGTTACGAGTACATATACTTAATTTTAGAGGGACATTCTAAATACCACGGCATAGAGTCGGGGGTGGATTTGCAATTCCAAATCGTTGCACAGGCCTTGTTCCTCTCAGTGACCAACACACACATCCAATTAGCTGGACGAAGCACACTTAACATCCAAGAACTCCTCGTCAACCTATACAATATTAGCCCATGCAATCTCAGTACACACAGTATGAGCAACTCACATTGGTACAAATAAAATCACTGTTCCCCTTAGGACTCTTGACATCGATATTCGTGGCATGAATACCAGAGCAAACCTAAACCGTTAGCATCCCATATACCCTTCCCAAGAAACAAAACTCACATCAGGACTCGAACAAATAATCGTTCCCACGTTAGGGTCATTCTTTGCAGATGTGACACCCGTGAGATCATTGAAGTAGACATCGCTAATCGTAAGGTTGCTCTGTTCCAAGCCAAGTCAGCCAAACCCATCCCTTCTATAACATATCCCAAACAGCATCTCCCCCCTATGAATACGAAAGAAAGTCATACCGGATACTGGTTACACAACGTCTGGTTCTTCTGTCCATAGCACTGCGTAACCTCAATCGCCCAGTCCACATTCTCGATGTACATGTGGTCGTAGGTGATGTTCTGGACGCTGCCGAGGCCGCCTCCACCCTGGAGATCTTCGGACATTGCGCTGGACACACCGGGCCAGACCTTTATGCGGGCCATGTCCTTTTTCTCTTGTTAGTGGATTTATCTTCTTGAAGAATATTGGGACAGATATGGGGACGTACAGAGGCATTATACATAGAGATGTTGTAGACGAGGACGTTCTGCACGATATCAACTTCGCCTGGGTATTGGCCTAGTGAGCCCACGGAGATACCGTGGGAACCATTGCAGTGGAGGTTCTGGACGAGGATCTCGGTGCTGTTTGGTTTGAAGGAGACGCAGTCTTTCCAATTCCTTCGGTTAGTGTATTCACAATGATGGCCGGGAGGGGGAAAAGAAAAACATACCATCCCCGTTGTTGATGACCGAGTTCTGGATAACGATATTACTCGACCGATACGTATCCCTTATCCATCATTATCAGCACGTCCAGCGGGAGATTACCCAAAAGAAAGGAAAACATACCATCCATCCGTATTCTTCGCCTCATGCTCACTACTACTATACCCCCAAACATCAATGCCATCGAACAGCACATCCGAACTATTCGCAACGAGCTGATACCACTGCGGCGAATACCGCAGCTTCAGTGGGCCGATCGTGCCCCCGTGCAGCCCGATAATGCCGACGAGAATGGGCCGCAGGATGAGCGCATCCTCCGCGTACAGGTCGTACCAGACCTGGCCGTTCCCGTTGAGCTCGCCGCCGCCGTAGACGTTGACGTCTGTGCCGCCGAGGTTGAAGAAGGTGGTGGCGTTCTGGAACGTGTGTTTGAAGGCGTTCGCTTGCCAGTAGTCTGTGTCGGGGGTGAAGGTGATTTTGCCGAGGATTTCTGGGTTCGTCTGGTTAGTGTTCTTGTGCATTGCGATGTTGGTGAAGCGGTGCTATCCGTGTACATACCCAGGTCGACGTGCTTCAGGAAGGTCATGTCCAAGGCGGTGCCAATCGTGTACTCCTTGTCTTCGTCGAAGACGACCTTGCCACCGTTGTTGCATTGCTTCAGGGCTGAGAGTATGTATGGTGCATCGTCCGTGCCATCTCCGTTGCTGTGGACATGGCAGGTCTTGTTCCGGGGTGAACTGGCCGGAAGAGGTCGGAATGGTGGTTTGGGCCCGACTGCGTCGGTTCGGGACAGGGAGAAGCCCTCTACCGGTAGGCTTAGGCCTAGGGAGAGGAGGAGAGTGGTTGCTTGGGTGAGCTTCATGGCTCTTGTTACTTGTTGGGTGTTGAGCAGGTCAATCAATGGCTGGGTTTGGTTTCGTGACGGCGCTGTCTATTATGTAGGCGCTACGAGATTGAGGTGTTTACCACGGGCTTAAAGTGCAGATGGAGGTAGAGACGGGTCCATAGGCAAATATATAGGTTTTATTTCTGGTAAACAGGCTGACATACTCTAGCTCGCACTTGTCAACGAGGCCACTAGGATAAAACCATTCACTTACTTCCCGCCAATCCTCTCGCCAGCGGGTGAAAATAAAGTGGGGAGCATTGAAGCTCTGCAGGATTCATCATAAGACAAGCTGTATCGGAGAAATGAAGGCCCAAATTAACGGATGTTGTATAGGGTTGGGGTTCGCCGCTTCTGATAGGAGGGATAATATGGCCGGGATTAATCCGATTGGGAGGAGAAATTGGTCGATCGTTCCTCCGTCTTCAAGCCCCGGATTCATGGCTGGGCGTGTTTATGGGGGAAATACTCAGCTACTCGACTGGGGTTGGTTGAACATGTTGCTGTTCATGTGGAGTTGTCCGGGGTTGCTTTTGATGTTGGGGTTGGCATGACATAACCTCACGTCTATGAGTGGATACTATTCATTTATTCGGACTCTGGACCTTTCACTTTCGGTGTGCTGTTCAATGTAGTATGTATCTTAGGAAAAGAAAAAAGGGTTAAGATCGTCCAACTCCAGGAACAAGTGCATTGCTGTATATATTAGGGCTAAATCCTTCGTCTTCCGTAGAGCGAAGGACTGATTATTTCCACGTGACCGTTCGGCATTCGATTACATACCCCAGTATCTGGTGGACCGGCATAAGGGAAGATAATTTTTAGATAAATTCGGTTTATCTAACGTCTTCGGCGGGAAACCAGTGCAGCCCTGATTTAATATATACAAACAAGAACGCCAGCCATGTTGCGTTGAGCCAGTAGAGCCCCCGAAGTACTGTCTATCGAGTGCTAGATGCCCAGATCCACCCAAAAGCTCGTCAATCGACGGTCTATCTCCCTGATGCACAGTTTCCTTTTTAGACCCTCGTCGGGCCCCCTTGCGTGGTAGAGTCCCATCTGGCAGAACCAGTTGAACCGATTTATGCGGACTTCTTCTCAACAGCAGCCTCGGCCTTCACGGCGGCCTCCTTCGCTGAGTCAACCACTTCGTGTTCCATCGCCTTGATGGCTTCGACAGGAGATTCATCCAGGCTACGGTGGTAGTTGTAGATACGGCCGACCTGAACGACACCGACACATCCGAGGAAAAAGTTGACAGCAGCAAGCCTGGGCGAATCAGTATTGTATATCTCATGGGCTGCGCTCTCTGAGATCAACGTACAGGTAGTTCTTAGGTTTGATGATCAGACACCAGCGGGTCCAGATGGCTCCGGTAGCCGTCAGGGCACCGTTCTGAGTCAAAGACAGCTTCTCGGCAGGACGGCTAAGATCGGAGATACCGGCAATGACCAGAGCCCACTAAGCAAAGTCAGCTATATCCATGGATCGGTGAAGTTCGCGAATTGCGGCCGCCGACGCGGTTATCGTGTTCCTTATTGTGGTGCTTAACGGCGTCCGGCAAGGGAGGGTGTAAATTATACCTTCATAACAGGGGCCCTAGAGCAACACGTATTAGAATGGCAAATCAAAGCAAAGAGCTTATAAAGCTCCCCAGAAAATAAACAACATACCAGAAATGCACCGTCTTGACACCGACGGGGCTGTTCCATATACGCTGGAAAGTGCTCTGTTGCTCAGCGGCAGCATCCGAGCTCTGGAAGCGGCGTCCGGCGCCAAAGCGACGCTGCGCATTGCGAAAAGCAGCGCGAGAGTTCTGGAAGAAACGAAGACCGACGCGGGAGGACATCGTGAAAGTGAGGAGCGAAGAAGATGGGGAAGGGAGAGACAAATGCCGGAAGGCGGAGAAGTGGAGATGGGCTCTCAACCGGGGTGTAGACTAGCAATGTTAGGTCGCACCAGAGGATCAATTTCAACTCTGGGGAATAGAAATAGAGGAGTGGAGATTGACAGAAGAAGGAGAAGTAAGTGAATCAACAGAAGGACAGGATATCAGAGATGAAGCCGACGTCGGCGGTCGCCGTCGGGAATGCTTTCAATCGTTGGGGTTGCGGCTCTTTTCCGGCTGAGGTAAGCGGTGACAATCACGCTTGACCGGATTGGTCCAAGGCCTCAGACCTCAAATCATCACCGTTTCAATCGCTCGATCACCCCTCCGTTGGCTCCAATTGATACCCCAGCTCTGTTTTGATCCGTTTGATCGGGGAAGCAGCTTCTTACTCTCATTGCCTATCGCCGCCTATCCTCCTAATCCGGTCTTCCGTCATTACCCTTTCACAATGTCCGGCAAATACGTTTTCACCAAGGGTCTGAAGGAGCTGCGCTTCCTTTTCTGTCAGACTTCAGAGCACAGTGCTCCCACAAGGTGTGTTCGGAGATACAATTTCTGGTCAAGCATGGCGTGGGATTCACAAATAACACCCAACAGGACCTTCCTGCAGCGCGCATACCCCACCATGAAGAAGCACAACCCTCACGTCCCCATTCTGATCCGCGAGGCCAGCGGTACTCTGCCTAAGGTGTACGCCAGATACGGTATGCTGCAATCGTAACTACAATGGCAAGCGACGTGGAAAAGACTAATACAGGAGTGATGTACAGCATTTGGCAAGGAGACACTCGAGCCATTGAATGGTAAGGGGTCATTTGTTCTAATTGACTTGGTTACAATTACTAATATCAAACCTGTACAGGCTTGTCGGATGCACAGATCGAAGAAAAACTTACCAAGCTCGTGAAGGAGTCGTCATAGCGAATTTTCCGCACTTCCGTATATGTCCATGCGTCGTGTTCAAATCGTCAACCATTGTATCTATAGATGAATTGGAAAATTCAATTTACTTCGAAACACTCAAGGGACGCCTGGAATCTCTTGTATTTATACCATCTAATTCACAGAGAACTACTACTGTCGGCTACCTGACCGAATCTAAACTGCGCCCAGCTCATACTGCCCTCACCCAGCGTCCACAGCCTCTTACCGACATCGTCTCCCGCAGCTCCGGCACCAACGTGAATGGGAAGCAGATGGTCAAAGGTTGGATGTGCCTGCCGAGCATCGGGTCTCTTCAACAGATCCGCCAGTGCCTGCTCTCTCTCCGCCGGGGGAGCCGTGGCCGCTTTCTTCAACGCCTCGTCGAAGCTGGTGGTGTACGGCAGCGGCCGCGAATCGTTCATGGAGAAAAACAGATCGCGCAGGTTGTGGACCGCCATTCCAGAGACGATGATGAGGATGTTTTCATCGCGAAGGCTAGACACGGCCTCTCCGAGCCGGTAATGCGCGACAGGATCCTCGTTCTTGAACAATGAAACCTGCACAATGGGCACGTTCAACGGGTTCGACTCAGGCTCGAACGCTATATGCTATTAGTTTCTCGTGCGCCGCATCAAGCACCATTTCTCGCAAAGGTGAACCTACCACACTTGAAGCTCGCCCACACACCATGATCCAATCCTCTTTTCACACCTTCCGCCTTGATCCCCGCCTTCCCGAGCAGGTCAAGCACCTTATTCGCAACCTCCCTGCTGCCCACATTGGGGTACTTCTCCTTGTAATAATGGCTGGGGAAGCCGTAGAAACTAGCCGAAAGTCAGCACACATCACCCTATTCCCACCCAAACATCACAAGGGGATGAAGAAAAAAGACATACTCATAAATCAAATCCGTATTCTCAGCCGTATTAACCTGAATCGTATCCCTGCCAGCCTGCCAATGTGCCGAGAAAACCACCACAGCCTTGGGCTTCACCTTGGTCGTAATCTCCTTGCCGATCTGCCCCAGCTTCTTATACGCCGGGTGATCCGTCTGGTACATGACATTCGGCTTTGGTATAGATAGTCAGCATCTCTCTCTCTCTCTTTCTCTCTTCAAATGAAATTCCACAGAAAGATCAAACTTACACCCCCATGACTCAAAAAATAAATCGGCGTCCGACCCATCTTCTCACTACCAGCCGCTTTCTTAGAGACCTCCCTACTAACAGCGGGGGAAGCACTCGTGAAAAACCGTTTAAGACCGAACAGATTGGCGGCTCGGGAGTCCCGGTACTCCTCTGTGTTATTGTTGGGATTGTAGCCTATGAAGAAGGCCAGCGATACTGCGATGAGGACGGTGAGGATAGCGAGCGCTGTGAGCGGGGAAGGTTTTCTGGGTGATTGTTGAGTTGGGGTTGTGGTGGGTTGGACGGAAGACATATATAGTAGGTGTTTGTCTTTTAGCTTCGGGGTGGTACTAGAAGTTACTAGCTGAAGTATATAGATGTGGTTTTGTTGGTAGTTCTGGGTGGGATTTATTGGATTCCTGGTTTTTTATACAGTTTACATGTTATATGGTGTAGCCAATGGTGATGCTGGGTTGGGGATTGCAAATTGATTGTAAGCAGTTGTCAGCCGGCGCGGAAGTGCGGAATCGGTCCGCTCTGGGGTTGATTATGTTTTTGTATTAGTGTCTTCAGGTACTCTGTACATATTGATGGTATGGATAAGTTGTTGTCCTGAGAGATGCTCTTTAATGTATATTAGTAACTAGTGTATTTGTATTAGTCTTAATTTCTGGGAATCTCGCTCTATGTTCTGGAAGCACATCAATAATAATAGGGTATACATCATATGGTATTCATCAAGTCTTCCATATCCAACATCTCAACCATGTGCATAGTGTTAATTCCACCCCGGTCGAAAGAAGGTCAAGTCAATGCAAATGGGATATAAAAGAAAAGAAATTGTTCATGCATGAGACATTAAAATCTATAACCTCCCGTTCCGACCTCACATGAGAATGCAGTCGCCTTCGTTTTGCTTCTGTTGGTTGGCACCAGACCGAGAAAGCCGGGCTTTCTGCATCTGGGCGCCTCCCTTCTTGATTTCTTCCAGACGTTCGCGGGCTTTCGGGAATCCTTGGGCTGTATAGCAGAATAACGTCAATTAGTAATTGTATCAAAGCGATGTGAACTGTAAAGCACTCACCAGCTGCCCGCCAATACCATCGCTTGGCATCCTCCATATTGGCGGTGACCCCGATTCCAACTTCGGTATAGTAACCCATTGCATATTCCGCCTTTGCAAGACTGGAAGTGGCGGCCTTGCGTGCCCAGAGGTAGGCTTCCGTGTCGCTCTGCTGCAGAATCCCCTCCGCGCCAGTCAAATACCATCCGCTCAGGGCAAGCTCACTTTGGTGCTCGCCCTGCGCAGCCGCATGAGTATACCAAAAGATACTCTGCCGGGGGTCCACGGGGCAGCCCATCAACCCATACTCGTAAGCAGTGGCTAGTTGGAACTGGGAGAACTTATACCCCAGTTCGGCAGCTTGGTGGAATAGCTGACTAGCATACGCCTCATCACGAATGACTATGTCATTCGGGCCCGCATTAGCATACATGAGCGCAAGTTCATGCAGTGCGTGCGGGTTCTCGGCATCAGCACGTTCTGCGGCACGCTTCAGCCATGAGACACCCTCGCGAGGGTTCTTGGCTTGTCCAAGAAGCCCCTTGAGCATAATCATTCCCATCTTATACATCGCTGGTGGATCTCCCAAAGATGCAGCACGCTTATACCAATGGACTGCCTTGAATGGGTCCCGCTTGGTACCACCGCCTTCTTCCGCGCCAATTTCGCAACACACAGCCGTGCGGTAGGCCGACTGGCCATGCCCTTGCTTGGCAGCAGTTTGGTACAAGTGGAAAGCTTCCTTGTGATCAACCTGAAGGCCCAGTAGTCCTTGGCCGTAGCAGTCCGCCAAGAAAAACTGTGCGTCAGCATATCCGCTAGACACAAGCTTTTTAACGATTTTGTACGCATCCATCGAATACTTCTCCCTCGCTTTCGCCTTGGACTTGGGATCTAGTCGACTGCTCTCAACCAGCACCACCGAGGCCTCGGCCAGCTTCTGGGCGAGTAACAGTTGGGTCTTCTTGTCAGAAGGATTGCTCTTGACAACCCGCTGCAACTGTTGAAGTTCTTCTTGCGTCACTGGTCCGGCGGGTGAATCAACCGGAGGGCCTTGCTGCGCAGCAACAGGAGGCGGTGCAGAGTCAGCCGCGCTGTTGTACTGGCGTACAGGTGCTGGTCCGCTACCCTGATCGTGGCCGGGTCGGAAAGGTGCCGGATGATGAGGTAGCGCATCGGGGTTTTGCTCGGGGTCTGCCGGGTCCATCTGATTCACTACTGGTGGCGGCGCTTCATTCGCGTATGCGGGCTGATTGGCCCGGTACGGCTGAGGACCATTGCTGCGAATGGAGCCACCGCGGCTTGCGTACCCTGTCTGTTCATCGGAGTATGCATTCATTTGTGACCCCCAACTACCATGGTGTTGCTGGTGTGGAGTCTGCATGGGATCTTCGTAGCCGAACCCGTAATCCATCCCCTCCTGGTGCTGCGCAGCGGGTGCCGATGCAGGGAGGTCGAAGTGGAATCCTGCATTCTCAAATTGATTTGGCACAGCCCCTGATCTTATCTCCGGCTGAGATTGGACATGATGAACATCGGTAGGCTGCGGCTGGAACGCCGCGTACTGGCCCTGAGGAGCGGGGGGAGCAGGTGTTTTTGATTTCGGTTTTTCTAATCCGAGTAAACTTTCGTCGATTGGACCGCCGTGGCCGCCATCAGGCATAGCGTCGAAATTGGGCATCTCGGGTTCATCCGCATGGGCTGTGCTATAATAGCTATCCAGTAATGCGTCGACGTGCAGAGACTTGTGTGCATTGGCTTTCGCGGTAAATGTCGGGTCTTGGTATGTCGCCTGTCCGGGATACATTGGCTTAGCAACGGGCGGGGCCGCCGGTGTCATTGGCGGTGCAGCTGGAACAGGCACGGTTGCGCTTCTATTGATTTGCGGTATCGGCGGGGGTCCATCAGGGTCAGTATAAGACCGCTCGCTCCGCTCACTCCAATCAGACCGTCCAGCTGGCGGGCGCCCTTGGCTCGTAGATCTTACGGGGCCAGCAGGATAATCTCCCCTACCCCGTCCAGCGGAGCCAGGGGGCGGCTGTCGAGGCATCTCCTGCCGTCGTGCGTGCGACGTATGCGGACGGTCTGGCACAGTTACAGGCGACATTGGGCCATTGAGATCCATCCTCGCCATTCCCGTTTCAATTCCTGTTGACGTTGAGCCGGACCGGCTGCGTGGTTCTTGGGAGGGAAATATCGGGAACGGATTGTCCCATGCTGCGTTGGAGGGAGGCGGCATAGGACGAGGGGCTGGATTATCATCAGTACTTGATTTACGAATCCGTTCGATGCGAGGTTTCACTCACGAGGCCTTGAGCGATCTTGCCTTGATGGCGCTCGCCTGTCGCCATAGCCACGAGGCGCATCGTATTGATTTGGCGGTGGTCGACCTCTTGGCGCATATCCGCGATCAGGTCGTGAGTCCATGGGAGGGCCATAACCTCCCCGCGGTGGGCGTGGGGCACCTCGTGGAGGTCCGTATGATCTCGGGACTGCTTGGTCACCCGGATAACCGTATCCAACATCGTCGTAGCCTCCATTCCCAGACGGATAACCGTAATCGTATCCTTGGTCAAAATGCCCGTCTTGTGGTGGGCCTGCGGGCCGAGAGGGGCGAGGGCCGTAGTTTCTCATGGGCGGAGGCCTCTGCGCTGGATGCTGAGGGTAAGCCATGACAAAGCTCAAAGCTTCGGTTACAGAGACGGCTGTCGTTCACGGAAGAGAAGCGGAATGGTTTTCTCTTTGTCCAGCTGGGCATCAACTAATTCGGTGCGATCCTGTGTCACGCCTCTGGTTTTAATCCACTACGTATCTATCCGGGGGTCAGCTGGTCCATTTGTGTGAAAGGTCCAGTCAGGACCACTTGAAGGATGCGCGCAACGGTCGAAGCTTACTGGAACGCGACAGTAAAAGAATGAATACCACCAGCCCCTCGAGTCGAACAAGCGCAGCAGAAGTATGCGATCATAAACCAATCAATGAAGTACGCGTGCCTGCAACGGGAAAGACATTGTCAGCGGGCAGTCTTGGGTGTGGAGGGCTTGAAAAGCCGAGTGCGCGATTGGAGCGTCAATGCGCCAGGACAACCAACTTGTTCGAAGGTAAATGAGAACCACAGGAGAGGGGGCTCAGGGATGTTTCTCCAAAGGAATGAAGGAGACACAGCAACGGAAGGAATCAAACTAGAAAGCAAAAACGACTGAACGACAGACAAGTCCCTGTGGCTGGTGGAAAAAGAGCGTGTGACCACAGAGGGGGGAATGAGGGTGAGTTAGTTTTATCTGAGAGGAGAGATCAAATGGTTTAAAATGGTTTAAAATGGGATCTCCGGATGGAGCCGTGGAGGTTGTTTGGTAACAACAACGGTTGGTAGGGTAAGGAAGTAATTACTCGTACTAGTCAGTAATTTTGATTGTCCGGCCCTGAACCGCGCAGGTACCCACGAATAATATTGGTGAGTTTGAATGACACAAGGAATCGAGGATGATGGGATTATCCTTCCTCAAACGAGTCTTCTTCTTTCTTCACTGTTCTGCCTAATTTTCTGATGACTTGTTTCCCCGTGACAAATGGTGGTTCTTTTTCCTTGTCCCCACATCCTGTCCCGCCATCATTCTCTGGCGGTTGATATCATTGTCCCACTTGATACAGAATGGAATTATCACTTGAGGGCCTGACATCCCCTAAGCACAGTTAGTGGATGTTTGAGGATTCTTTCCCATGGATAGTGGGGAAGTGGGCCCGACGAAGGAATATATTTATGGCCACAAAATGTAGGTACCCGAAAAGAATCAAAGGGAAAAAAAGGGGAACATCGTATAGTCAAAAATGGATAGATTTCAATTTAGGCCAAAGAATATCGACCTCTTTGGTGGGATTTTCCACGACAGTCACTTTATTGTGTTTTCTTTGATTTTTATTTTCTTTTTTGTTTCTTCTCGCTACAGGTGGAATGCATTGGTTCTATGAAAAGTGGAGACCGCGGTAACAGCACTTTTTAGTATCGAGTAGTCTCGTGTCTTAAGGCTGCTAAGGCACCATGTCATCCCAATCAGAGAGGCACATTTCCCCTTCAAGATTCATTTCACTTCTTGGCGAGTCCAATAATTCCCCTCTCTGCATGGATGCCCTCGGCGCAAACCATGGGCCGGCGGTTAACTGACGTCCAGATAACCTTGTCCTAATTATAGATTTCTTTCTTCCTGACAATGGAAGTCAATATACGATAGGTACCGAGTACAACTCTGTACTCCGTATACATCGCTGAAACAACTTGCGACGAACAATGTGATGCAAGGAAGGCGCCAATTGAGGATACTAAGACTCTACGTCCAATCCATTTACCTATATCTACCTGTCTAATAATATATTGGAAATCAACCATCGAGGAATAGGGGTTAGTCGCATGGAATGTTGTCCACTCCCCTGCCTCTTAGGGCAATTCACAGGAGGTACGAGTACGACGCGGTGTACGGAGGACTCCGTAGCATATGGAAATGAAGGATGACGGAGTCTCCCATTTCGGAACGCAGGGGATTGTGTCCGGCTTGATAATATCAATGATTCGTCGATGATAAGCGTCTTCTCTCGCCATCGCCTGCTGTATGACGTTGAATTGGTTGTCTTGCTGCTTACTCCTCCATTCGACCCCTTGGCTTGATTCCAACCATTTGAATCGGATAGGCCCCTTGCTTCCGAAATTCTTCTCTGATCCAACGGTTATACACGCGGCACTCTGCAGCGAACAGGATCGGCCATGAAATCCTACCGAGCAGCCGAAGATACCTTCCGAACAAGACAGTATCTGCGAGTGAGATAATAGAAATGCCCCAAAACAGTATCGACTCCAGCAACTAGCAAGGGTAGTGGTCAATAGTAGAGACGGTCGACCTAGTGTCAGAACGGGTGGAGCACACCTAGTTAAAGTAGCATGAACTTCTTTTTGTGACGCTCTCTCTCTCTCTTTTATTTTAATTAATTAATTAATTATTATTTTTTTTTCTTTTCCTTTTCTAACCACGAAGTTCTTTGTTCCACCACAGTTTGCATCGTTTGCCCCAATCAACCCGCCGTACTGCGCCACCTCGCCTCAAACCAACCCCAGCCACATGCCGACCGCCGACCACCGATGATGCTATTCCGTTCCACCCAATTATGCGCCGCCTATTATTTCTGAGTAGCACCTGCGCGTGGATCTCCCTCCCACACACCAAAGAGAGCCTGGCCACTCATTCCTCAGGGACCAAGTGATACACATCGACAAAACCCCGACACCATTGTCTCGGCAATTATATCCGCGCAGTGACATCCCCTCGGAAACACGCCGTCACCATGTCCAAAGCGGGAACGTGGATCAAGATGTTCGTCGTGTAAGTTTTCCCCCCCATTTCAGCGAATACAGCAATCCGACCAAAGCTGACGGGAATTATTATTCTAGCGGCACGGTGATCTGTGTCGGCGGCCCCGCACTCGTCCAAGCGATCCGTCCTACCGATGAAGAATTGTTCAAACGGTATAACCCGGAGCTCCAAAAGCGGAGTCTGGAGGAAGGGGATCGTCGCGCGCAGGAATTCGATGATTATGTGAATCGCCTGAAGCAGTGGTCTAAGTCGGATAAGTCGAGTATGTTTCCCATCTTGGGGTGAAGGGAATGAATGGGATCTAGAAGATGATCGGGGTGCTAATGGGTCTGAATAGTCTGGGTTGCGGCTCAGGAACAACAGGAGCAGATGCGGACGCAGGCTGCGGTGCAGCGCAGCCAGGCGAAGGATGAGTCGAAGGCTCAGCGTGAGGAGATGCGCAAGGAGTTGCTGGGTGAGAAATAATCTCGTGGGATAATGTGCGCGCGAGGCGAGCTGTAGTGTGGTTGATTGAAAGGTATATCGGGTGTTGGTTTTATCCCATATACCCCCTTGTCTGTATTTATACCCGTGGTCGCTGGGCCGAGGGAGTTAAAAGCTTGGTGCATGAATCATGGGCGAGTCTTTTTGCCGGGAGTTATCGGTTGGGCGCTTTACTTGTTTGCATATATGAAAGATGAACGGATGAGATGATTGTATAGTATTGTCTGCAGGTATATTCTCCGTTCTCAATCTATCCGATGGCTACATTCTATCTTAGGTAGCGGGTATTTGCATGACAGGTTCGAAGTAGAAAAGACGCTTACATTGGTATTTTGCCTTGAAATATACACACGAAGATCATAGAATGATCATTATTGCTTATGACCCACAGAGTATTGCAAATGAGTGCCGTATAGCAGGCAGAATCAATGTAAAATTACATAGAGCCAAGTTTCAGATGATTGACAAAAGTGAATAGAGAATGCGCAAAACAAGCATGGACATCAAGATATTGTATTGTCCGATCCAGAGCCAGATCTAGATCCAACAGCTGTCGCTAAGATCGTGATATAGTAGTAGCCAAGGGGTAACCATGTTCTGTCAAAGACATCGACATCAAGACTTTCGCCCTCTGTATTGGTTAATTTCAGTCATTGATCTGATCGTCAGATGCGTAGAGAAAGCTGGCCTTCAACAATTCGAGACATCATCCTCTCAGAAGTCTAGATCTTGAATTTCCAACTCGACCCCAGCGGCCTCACATACCAACCTCAAAAAAGCCGTACCCAGTAGCGACCTCACCATTGGGCCCAGCTTAAGCACAAGTAGTCGAAGCCGAGGTACCAAATCAACTCGATATCTCACCAGCTCCGCAAGGTAAGACGCGATAAGCGTAAAACAGCCCACCACAACGACACCTGTGATTTCTAGCACCTCTAGTGAGCAAGGAAGCTGGCCTGTGAATGATCCTGAATTGTTAAACTTGAGTCCCACGAGGCTAGCGTGCGGAATAGAAAGCTGTTGGAGTACGCGAAACTCCTTCAAGGATCCGAGTAGGCCATACAGATCGCATTGCACCATTGATGGAGTTTGATAATCAGATCCTTTTGAAGCCGTCCACATGAAGCCCAGGCGAAGAGACTTCAGGGTATCTTTAGCTTGAAGAAGCGCCTGGCGGAAGGCTTCTATATCCAAGGGCCCATCATGCAAATTAGAAGGATAATAAAGTACAACATGGAAATGCTCGAGTTTAGGGCACATTTTAGCCCATTTGGCCATTCCTGTGGGATCAGAAGCCCCCATCATAACACCAGCTCGAGTGACTTGGCACATAGGGCTGTCTATCGTAAGTTGAGCCAAAGACCTTTGGATTTGGTCTAAAGGCCGCTCTTGAATATTATATGCGAGCACTTCGCGAACAGCTGGGAAATACAAAAACGGCAATACAAAGTCCGTAGTTACCGGTTTCCACGCAGCAAGGGAGCTAATCTGAACTCTTCGTAGACAGGGAAATGGAGGAGTGTTGTGAAAAGGCCGCTGGCGCATGGCTGCCTTTTCCAGGATGTCTTGCAGTAGTTCATCATGATCATATGCCAGCAAAAGTGTTTCCAAGCGACTCAGGCGAGTTAACAGCAGGCCCACCCAAGCCACACCACAGAAGCTGTTAAGATACTTCTTCCATCTGGTCTTCTCTGTCTTTGTTTCAAATGTTTCGTTCAGAATTCTGTGGATCAAAGTGGAGTCTATCCCACGACCGATTTCTGATTGGTGAAGCCTGTTCCAATGTTCGCAGTCGTGTGCAAGTGTTATATGGCGTACACGACTCGCCAAATATGGTTCTCTGCAGAGGTTTTGAACTATCAACGGGATGCTTCTCGCTGGGCCGAATGTAATCGATGTATAGAGTAGAGGTTGGAAAATTTGACGGAATCTCCGAGAGCATTCGCTTAAAGCACGCTTCGTCGGCAAGTCATGTATATAATCTCCCGTTAGTAGGAGCAGCTCGGTAGGCAGAAGATCCATTTTGTTTTATATTTCGTGTAAGTCAAATTCTGTCTTGGTCGTCTTCTATTCAGAAACGGTTGTGGGAGAGGAACATGTTCGGTAGGATAGATTAGGCAGTAATAGTACCAGTTATAACATAAGCAGGTAGGAGTGAGTCAAGCTGTTCTAATGTCGTAGGAATGATGCCAGCATTAGACTCATGACTATTGTCCTGTCATCATGGCTTCATTGCCGACTTGCTGTCAACCTGACCACCAGCGATTTGTCTCAGGATAATAGTCATGTCAACCAATGCCGCACAAAGGCAGTAGTAGTGTCACTGCCAGCTCCAGTTTAGGAGGTGGTGTTTGGTGTTGGAGTCCAATGAGCAGGTGCTTCATTGGCTCGATCAAGATCGCTCCTTACGTTTCTAACACTCATCATATTGTTTCTGTCCATGCTCATGTATGATCAAGTTATTTTGCTTTATTAACAAATATATGCTAGAGTTCTTGCCGCTCACGATAACTCCCACTTAATACACATAACGAAAGTCCTTGTTCTGTTTGTCGGTCAACCCACCCCATGCCTTCTCGTCCGTGACAACACCCTGGCCTTCTTGGGTTGTCTGGATGCGATCCCTCCGCCTGTTCTCCCAGACATAGTACCCAAAGAGCACGACGGCTAGTATTCCAGCCACGGCCTGAGTCACCAGGACTGCAATCTTAGCTGGTCGGTATTCGGGGGCATCCCTTGCCTGGAAAGTTTGCGGCCCAATGATATTGCCCACGCAGAAAAAGCCGGCCACCACAGCACTAGTAAATGCACGCTTTGTGTACCCTGCGCAATTGGCGGCGATCCAGTGGTAGATTACCGGTGTTGGAGCAACGATTGCATTGACTAGGTAGATTCCAATCAAGACTCCGGCCCGATTGCTCTTGGGAAGGAAAGACATCAGACCGCCGCCGATGATTCCTGGGATACTGCAGATAAAGATCCATGCCCATCGATTCGCAGCTTTACGGACGCCAATCCCCACTAGAAGTGTAAAGAAAATACTAACAATTCCTGAAGGTGTGTTTAGAAGGGCTGAGATAGGTCCGCCAAAGCCAAAGCCCGCTATAAGCGTGGACGAATACACCACGACCACTCCGCTGGAAACAGCTTGCTAGATGCTAGTTAGCTTTTCTCCTTCCTTTTTCTCCATGGGCTAGGAGTTTTCCTTCAAGACTATACTTAGAAGAGGCGAACAGGTGGGGATAGACCTACCAAGGCGAGCATCAAAGCCCACAACCACACCTGAGGATCAAGAACTGCTTCCAGCAATTGCTTGGGATCAAACTTGCCATTGCGAATACCGGTCTGGTTCACGCGAACGTGTTGAAGCAGCGTCACCTTTTGGTCATCGGATAACCACTTCGCTTGCATTGGTGTATCTGGAAGGAAAAGTAAGGTGGCAACTCCTACAGCAACGGTGATCAGTCCCATGACGAGGAACATTATACGCCAGCCGGCGAATGCATGATGTACGTGTTGGAAGCCAAAGGAAATCAATCCGCCAATGATCTGGGCTACTCCTAGGCCTAAAAACCAAAATGTAAATCTTGGGGCCTGTTCGGACTTGGTATAGTATTGACTGCTTATGAGCATCAAGGATGGCGCTACCGGGGCTTCAAAAATCCCAAGGAATATACGCGCGACAAGTAGAGTCGTGTAGTTCTTCGCGCCGGCCGCTGCCGCTGCTGCAACACCCCAGAGCATGACATTGATACTCAACCATTTGGCTGGGGGGACCTTCTGGAGAAGATATGCTGACGTTCTGGTGAGTTTTCCTGCTTGTAGGAGGATTATAAGAACTTACTATTTGGAACTTCAGCAATCAAGGATGCAATGAAAAAGGCACTTGCCCCGTTGCTAAAGTTGTTTCCCTTCAGGCCCAGGTCTGTTTTCATGCCCATGACTCCCGCATACTTTGGAGTCGGGATTAGCGAGGTTGGTATGAGGGGTCCAAGATACTGACATTATACATCACTTTATCGATGAATTGTAGGAAATAGCAACAAAACATAAATGGCAAAATGCGCCGATCCACTTTATGACGGATCGCGACCAGATCGGCGTCAGTGTGTTGGACATCGCCATGTTTATCCAAGAAATTCCAGGCATCGTCCAGTGCTTGGGAAGATGTAGCTTGTCCCTGTATTGCGTCCGCAACCGGTTGGTTGCGGTTTGTCTCCGTCATCTTTTCTCTCGTTCTCTCTGGAGAATGATATTAGACCGGGTGAGAATACATGCTAGCAATGAAGAACAATTGAAGAAGGGACAGGATGCGACAACGTGGCCGAGTCCAAATAAACTCAAGAATGTAAAACGGAACGAGCAAAAGAGGGGTCCAAAATATACAACGAAAGAGGCAGAGATTGACCTTCAGTTGATTGTGATCACTTTAAGGCAGATACTAAGAATGTAACCTCTTCCAGAACCCAAAGTTTAAAAGGGTCGCATTTCCCTTTTATGCAGGTTATATATACATCCTATGTCAACCATCCGTGATCCTGGTTTGAGGTTACAATAAAGACTATTCGATTGCCTTCACCGCGTCTAGAATCCCACTTGTCATGGATGTCCCATGTACAAGTCAGTATCTTGCAACCACCGTGGCTCGCATGTTAGGCCCCCCAGACTGAGGTTCCCAACGCCTTAGATCCGTGGATATTGGACTCTTGGCCTCAAGGCCATCACAATTAATTCCCTTGGCAAGTTTTCTTCGTGCCTTGAATGGCTAGAATCCTCAGCCCGAAAGCAGATCCTCTGTCCCCTAGCCAAAGTCTTTCTGCAACTGTAAGGGAAACCAAATACGAGGTCTGTCGATCGCCGCACGTAGTATCTTTTTTTTGATTCTGTGGCAATAGTGGTTATTGAATTACCACATGTGATATCACAAATGCCAGGTTTAAGTCACCATCCATTTGGCTCTACTAATAATCATGTTTTCGCATCGGCGGCTCAACGACTGATCTACATGTTTCTGAAGCCGATCTCTGTCACCTCAACTAATAACACTTCGAAACTGTTTGTTCATTATATGTTCAAGAGATAATCATGACCTACTCATATTGCGATAATAAGTAGCCTGTACAGATTAACCAGGGATCTTGTGATTGAAAACCTCGACTTGTTTAACAGATATAGCTGAGTCTTACCGTCGATTAGGGCTTTGCATCAAGGTATTGCGGTAGGTCGCCCTCGATCTCTGTCTTTATTCTTTTCTTTTCTTTTCTTTTTTTTCCAACAAAAATAAAAAATAAAAAATAAAAAAATAAAAAAGGGGAAGGAAAGAGAATAAAAATGAATAAACGAAAATAAAAAAGAGAAAATATGTAAAAACATCCATATAAAACATAATAATGTCCCAAAGGACACTGTAGCACTATAAACTAGAATGAACTATAGCATCGCGGAGTCCTAGTATAAAGCCCTGTAGATTGGCTAGGTACTATCCTTACATCATGAACACATTAATTTAAGAAGTATATACACTGTGGATCGTTTCAGAATCAATCAATGTCAGAAATATCTAGATAGATACCTAGAATTTACAAGAAAAAGCTGATTGTCCCTAGCGAACACACGTGATGATCACGTATTCAATCTATACGCTTTACTGTAGCTGCCTTCATCTTCCTAAGCAACTCCACTTTGTCTCATTTGGGGTAATCCTGCTTTGTAAACCATGTTGAGCAATACAGATAAATACTCTCCACACGATAGGCTATCGATGTCGTGATCGCAACCTCAGTTTCACTCATCCGCAAACACATTTGTCATCACAAGATACCTGACATGTATATAGGTCACGATAATAATGCTTTCACCCCCGCTGGCAATAGCAGGAACTTCCTTTTCCTACAGTATCATCCAGCCCATAACCAGAAACCCCAGTGTAAGAAACCATGCCTGAGAAAACACTACATTTGACCGCATTCATGCGGCCGGTCAGCCTACACACCGGCGCATGGCGATACCCCGGCGCCTATCCAGACGCCAATTTCAATCTCGCCCATCTCAAATCCTTCATCAAGAAGCTAGAAGATGCCAAATTCGACGCCTTCTTCATGGCCGATCACCTCGCCGTGTTGAACATGCCCGTCGAGGCGCTGAAACGTAGCCACACCGTGACATCCTTCGAGCCGTTCACTCTACTCTCGGCGCTATCAGTTGTCACAGAGAAGATTGGACTCGCGGCCACAGCATCCACGACATACGATGAGCCCTACCATATCGCGCGACGCTTCGCCTCGCTGGATCATCTCAGCGGCGGTCGCGCGGCTTGGAATATCGTCACCACCGGTAATCCGGAGTCTGCGAAGAACTTCGGACTAGATGCACACGTGGAACACGCGGATCGCTACAAGCGGGCCCGAGAGTTCTACGACGTCGTTACCGGGTTGTGGGATAGTTTTGCTGATGATGCCTTCATCCGCGATCAAGAGACCGGCATCTACTTTGATCCGGAGAAGTTGCATGTTCTCGACCACAAGGGCGATGATCTGAAAGTGAGAGGGCCCCTGAACATCGCGCGGCCAGTTCAAGGCTGGCCGGTGATTGTTCAAGCGGGACAGTCCGAGCCAGGGAAACAGTTGGCGGCTGAAACGGCCGAAGCGGTCTTCTGCTCGCCGAGGGACTTGGAGTCGGCAAAGGCGTTGTATGCGGACGTCAAGGGCCGTGCAGTGGCAGCTGGTCGGGATCGGAACCATATCAAGATCCTGCCGGCCGCCTTTGTCGTCGTTGGTGACAGTGTGGAAGAGGCCAGGGCCAAGCGCCTCAAACTCGACAGTCTCGTCCACTACGACAGCGCCATTGCCTCCTTGTCCATTGCTCTGGGTACGGATGCGTCCGGCTTTGATCCAGATGGTCCACTGCCGACAGATATCCCGGAGACGAATGCGAGCAAGACAGGCCGTGCTGGAGTCTTGAAGCTTGCCGAGGATGAGAAGTTGACCGTCCGACAGCTTGCACAGCGATATGGTGGCTACTCG